CTGAGAAAACAAGAGACGAGGCGTTCTTTAGTTGCCACCAAGCGTGCCGCACAAGCCCTGAAAACTGAAGCCAAAGCGTCTCGATCGCCCCCCGGTGGCCAGTCCTAGTATAGGTCATAAACCCCGCCTTCCTGTGTTATTCAACGACACACTTCACATATCCTTTTTCCAAATATGGTTTCTGTCATTTACGGAACTTTTTTTCACGCTGATGTAATTTCAAGTGTTTGTTTTTAAAATAAGTTTGTTTTTAGTTAGTTATTTGATGTGGTGGTGTGATGTCATGATTGACAGCTGTGATTGACAGGTTCTCTGAGCGAAGCAGTCACTGAAGCACCAGCACGACTTTTTTTCGGGATGTTTGGAGGGCTAAGGAGATTAAAGCTGTAAATGTAATATTTTCTTACGATTTAATTTAAATTTAATACGTTCTTGCGATTGATTCTGCGAGAGTGAGGGCGGGGCCTTGATTTCGTGGCTTTACTTCCTGCTCACGACTGCGCAGGTCCGGACACTGGCGGCTTCACTTCTGACCAATGGAAGAGAGCCAAGGGGCGGCGTCCATCTTTTTTTACAGTCTATGGTCTCTACAAAACGCCAGGTTAGACGCAGGCTGTAAGGGACAGACGTACAGTACAACGGCACGCACTGTATAGACCCCTGTTCAGTTCGTGAACATTGTGACGTGTTTTGTGGGCGGGGCTTAACTGGAGGCAGAATGATTCGCCTGGTCGCTTCGCTAACGCTAGTTTGTTTGCTTGTTTTTGACTGGATGACTGGAGAAAATCTGATTTGATCGTAATGTGTAATGTCACTCACTGTCCAGGACCGCGAGTGTTATTTGAAAAAGTAAATTTTAACAGACAGAGCCGGATTGACCGACCCGTACACGCTTACTCAATGATGGACAGGATTATTGTTAACGTTACCTCGGTTGAGGTACACACACATGCATGTTTATATATATCTAAGAAATATTCGCATGCATATATTTATACATTATTTATTTTACATTTAAATTTTATATATTTTATATACACTCTAAAATATGCTGGGTTGTTTCAACCCAAATTTGGGTCAAATATGGACAAACCCAAATATTGGGTTAAAAATGTAATTAAAAAAATGTAGAGTTGAAAGTGAAAGTTGGGTTAAATTTTAAATGACATTTATAACCCAACATTTGGGTTTGTCTATATTTGGGTCAAAACAACCCAGCATCACTTAGAGTGTATAAATAACGCATTTAAAAAAAACAAAACATGTAATTCGTGTGTATTTATATGTACTAAACAATTATACACAGCACACACACATATATTATGTAAGCAAACTTTTATTTTGGATGCGATTAATCGTTGTCCAGCACTGATTAATTTATACTGTATACAACTATAGTATGGGATGAAGTGATTTAGTTTGATAAATGTGAGTATTTAACTGGTGGACACTGAAGAGCATAACAAACACACACAAACAAACAAAACACATTTCATTTCCCCATCAGTGACGCTGTTTAGTACAGAAACTCACGATACGGGCTCATTGTTTGTGCGTTTCCTCGTCTCTGACAGCTGTCAATCAACTCTTCAGTGATGTTACCAGTGCATTTGCTCATTATACGAGTGTGATGATTAAAATGATTGCTTCACAAGTGGACTAAAGCAGCGCTGTCGGCCTCGCTCTCGATTAAAGAGCTGATAGATTACAGTATCGATCGCCTCACCTGACCCCGGACCTTCATATGAATGGTCTTATTGAGGCAGAGATGAGCGGGCGATGTCTATCTGACACACCGCAGTGTTTGAGGGCCGACAGACAGAAAGAGCCCGGGGAAAAGAAGAAAGCGGGAAAAAGGGGAAGCGGAGTGTTTCATTTGCGTTATCAGGTGGGCCAACAGCTGGAGGATACATTAATTAACAGATTGCGATCAGGACTGCGGGCCCTTGACAATGTGAAGAGGGATCAATAAGGGCCTGGGACTGGAGGTGGCGGGATGAGCGGGAGCAGCCGGAGAACAGGTCACACATCTGCAGTGGCTTCACTTCCAAGCAGAAACACACAACATGTGAAATACTTCAGGCTCGGGGATTCATGAGCACAGCGCGTTGATTCCAGCTAACAGACGTTCTGGCAAGGTTCTCTCAAAGTTATGAGTCTAGTGTCGTTAATAGGCCTGCTTCCGGAAGGCGGAGTAGGGATTCAGAACTTCCGGTCAACAGTATTTCTCCATAGGGATTTAGATTATCAGCCATAGGGCCCTATCTTGCACCCAGGCGCGGAGTTTGCGGAGGGGCAGGGGGAGCGTTGCCCCCCCGGTGGCTGAAACGGGTAATCGCATTTTCTTAAAAAAGCTGTAAAAAATCTAACTCGGAGAGAAGCTTTTCTGCGATAAATGGGCGTCAATTTGAAATGTGCTGGGGACAGAGACGTACTCGAAAGGGCATTTTCACAAGTGCTGGGTACGCATTCATTCTTTTTCTCTCTTTCGAGTAGGTCATGTTTTGAAAGACGATGTTCTGTAGCTCCTGATGTACATAAATAAAAATGAGCACAATGTCCGAGTATAGTGAGTATATAAAGTATATACGCCCTTTATTGCATAAATAAAAATGAGCACAATGTCAGAGTATAGCACTTTTTTCATGTGTATAGTGAGTATATAAAGTATATACTCCCTTTTTCGTGTATACAGTGATGGTCCAGATCCAGGACTCGGGAGGTTCGAGGTTCTAATCCGCACTCGTAAAGTTTTTTTTTTCCCCTATAGGTAGCCTAATCCCGTGTCTTAAAATTTTTTCAATGATTCATGAAGTATAAATGCGAAATTTAACTAGTTTTTTAATCATTATCATTGCCAGAATGTGTTTTGAAAAAAGGAAAGAAAACTTTAAGGTTGAAGATAATATTTTAACAGTGCAAAAGTGGTCCACATTTCATGATCCTATAACGAAGATGCGACGCGAAGTGGCTGTTAATGCGAAGTTCTAGCTGTTTACAATGACATAAAGGCAATAAAATATCAGTGTATTGTTTTACTGTTTTTTCTTGGGATAAAAATAAATATGTGTTTATTTAGCATGTTTTTTTTTTTTTTTTTTGCCCCCCCTGGCTCGAATGTCAAACTCCGCCTATGCTTGCACCCGGCGCAAATGACTTTGTACACCGACGCATTTATCATTCCTATTTTGCACCTGCGCAAAGTTGACTTTTCCCCCCACAGACGCAGGTCGGTAAACTAGGGAATGAACTTGCGCTCCCCGGGCGGGTTTCGGTGCAAACAATCCCTGGTGCTATTTTGCAGTTCCAGAAAACAATTGTGCGAATGACCAGAAAACACTCGGTCTAAAGTCAGTGGCGCGTTGCGCGTTCATTCAGATGCCATTTTAAGCGCGCATGCTTGGCCATAATACAGAGTGAACAACACGCATACACTGTAGATGATTCTCTCAGCTACACAGATGCATTTTACTTTTTGCAAATGATACATTATTATAAGGAAATATATTAAAACACGAGGGAAATCATTTTTGTGTCTGTGACGATGGGAAAAAGAGGCATAATAATAGGCACATTTACCCAAATTATTACATACATGTTTAACCGAAGCTAACTTGGGTGGGTTTGTCCATCCCCAATGTCACTTCTCTTTCTTTTACGGCCCTGACGAGGACATCGATCTCCTCGGCTGTGAACCGATTGTGAAGCGCGCCAGTATAAAAGAATTGGGCCATGGAACAAGCGCAACTCGTTCATCACGCACTTAAAGGGTGTGTTGGATGACGCTCTGATTGGTTTATTTCACATTACGCCCAAACCACACCTATGAATAATGAAGCTACTTCAGACCAACCCCTTTTAAACTTGCGTCAGGCGCAAGAGTCATTTATCCCGCCGGGAAAATAGCAACAGCACCCAAAGGTTTGTTCATCAAAATGAACAAATCTTTTTTCGAGTCATTTCTTTCATTTCATTCAACGAACAAAACGAACGAATTAACTCGGAAAAAGATTTGTTCATTTTGATGAACGAGTTCGAACAGGAGAGTCACGAACGCTCATCACAGAACAGAGCAAGGCGAGCATTTGAGCTTATAAAACTTAAACTTTGTTATTTATTTATTAAATGAGCGATCGTTTCGCGTGATAAGACCCTTATTCATCGTCTGGTGTCGTTTAAAGCCCTTTGAACAGTTTGCACTGAAACTGTCTTTTGGACCTTGAACCGTTTGGTTCCCATTGAAGTTCATTATATGGAGAAAATTCTGGAATGTTTTCATCAAAAACCTTAATTTCTTTTCCACTGAAGAAGGAAAGACATGGACATTTTGACAAAGAATGACATGGGGATGAGTAAATTATCAGCAAACGTTTTTTTTTAGTAAACTACTCCTTTAAAGACCAGATAACTTTCTATAAACGTTACTGAAAGAACGTTAGTTCATACCTTTAGGAGAACCCTCTGAGAGACATAGCTGGGATTATTCAGTTAAGTTGACAAAATTACTGAATATTAATGATCTTTTAAACCCCAAAATGTAAAACAATTGATTGAATATTGATGCATTTTATCATTTAGCTTTTATAAAAGCTTAGCATTGTTCACAAGAATAGCTCTTACCATGGTAAAATCACTGTAACACATGGCTTATCTTCAGGAGACGGAGCAAGTCTTGACAGAAGATTATGACAATCGGCTTTTAATTCTAAACGATAGGACTGGGAACAAGTATTAGGCGAGGAAACCATTATCCATGACAGGTAAGAGTTGCTTGATGATGTTTGTCGGAAACGTTTGAAATGTTTCTCTCAGTAACATAAGAAGCACTAGTAAAAAATGTAATCAGTTTTTAGCTTGTTTTTATGCAGCTCTATAAAGTTCATTGCTGGAAACATCATTTGTAACAAAGAAAAGCTCGTCCGTCTCCCCGTGAGATATTTCACGCTCGCTAAATCAAACGCCTCAATTGTGTAAAAAGGCAAAAGCTAAAACCTCGGCAA